CAGCATCAATTCTTCTAGGTACACTTGCACAGAGTTTTTGAAGGAACTCAGCAGGTAGGTTATCCCAAACATCTTGGAGAACCAACCACAGATCTCCTGTGGATGTAGGCTGCCTCAAATCCTCCTGTCTCTTCATGTAATCCCAGACAGACATGATGATGTTGAGATCAGGGCTCTGTGGGGGCCAAACCATCACTTCCAGGACTCTTAACAAACTATAATAGCTAAACTAAAAGTAAACCAATCACTTTATGCTGTAGAAACTTTATAAACCAAGCCATAATATTTAGCTGGTATGTTATTTGTTTGTTTTTGCTTAGCATGTCATATAAATAAATCCATTCTGGATTATGAACCACTATTTTGGCTTGGAGTGCTCCAAACCACACTTAGAAATTTATCTGAACAGCATTGTGGATTACAGTACAATTAAACAACTACTATGTAATATAGTTTGGTTTTTACATGCTAGTTTATGTTTTTAGTTTGTTGTGTTCATATTAGGGTTTTCTATAAAACCTGTATATTAAAAATAAATAGTGCAATATGTAAACCTAGGCAATATGACAGGCCCAAGTCACCCAGAGTGCGAAACCTTGGTTTCTGTCTCTTCCCAACATATCTGAAACCACATTCTCAAACTTACAGTCCAATGGATGTATATACTGTAATTACAATTGTATTGTAACTCCCCAGGTAATTACAATATCTGCAGCCTGCAACAATATTTTGCAGGATCTGAGAATGCTGCCCAGCAAGGTCAGGGCACTTAACACTGCATAGATGAGCAGGTTGGGGCATGTGAAATGCTCCAGAAAGAACAGCTGCATGGTGGCAGTGGGTCTGATCAGCCAAGCTGTATATTTCTGCATAGAACCACTACTGTACTTCTGTTCTGCAGTAGGGATTTCTGAGGGAGTCCCAGGATCTCCAGGGAGCGACAGTGGGGAGGTGGGGCTTGGCCAAGAACAGGCAAAGGTGATGCAGCTGCTTGAAGAATGGAAGGAGGCACCAAGAAGATCAGTGAAACTTCATGCCATCAATTTGGGAAACCCCTCAAGCACCTTCTAGAAGCCTGGTGTTAAATGTGTTGTGTAGATGCCTGATGTGGACCAATCAAATAGCCCCTCTCCTCCTTCCCACGGGTCTGTGGAACCAGAGAACTCCCTAGCAGTCAGGGAGTGATCCAACCATGACAAGTGACAGATGGTAATGTCACATTGCAGCTGCCCTGAGATAAAACTCTATTATGTGGTTTCCAGTATGCAGGTCTATGGCTGCACGGTCACTATGAACTCCTTAACCTCTGATCCTTTTTCCGAGGCAGGCAAATTGAAGTCCCCAAGAACTATCAGTCTTGAAAACTCCAACACCAATCCTGCAATAAGGTCAAGCAGCTTAGGCAGGAAAGCTGACCTGCAGCAGGAAGGATGATACATAAGCAGCATTCCCACCTTATCCCTAAAGCCCAGCATTATCACTAAGGCCTCAAATTTGGTTATCTGCAGGACAGTGCCCTTTGACACCAATAGAGTCTCCTGGATGACAACCACTACTCCATCTCCCCTCCCCTAAGTGTGGCTGGGGTATAAGATGTGAAACTAGAATGGCACATTTCTGAGAAGGGAACCTGCCCTCCACCCCCAACTAGCTTTTAATAATACAAGCCAAATACGTCCTCTCATGCAAATATGATTGTAATAAAGCTTTATTACAGACAGACCTAGCAACAGCCAGGTGCTCTGAGAATCTGGTAAGCTGGTCTTAGGATTGAGATCAGTGGCTTCTAATCCCTCTTCTCCAGAAACAGCCTGCTTCCTGCCATCTCCCTCTGCACATCACCACTGTAATTATTGAATCCTGCTCTAAACTCTCACTTCTCCCCATGGTCCCATTCCCTTCCCTGCTCTCAGGGGATATCCTACTAACCCATCTCATCTCTTCTCTGTCAACCTCCACAGATCTTCAGTAACCTCGTCACAACCATTCTCTTGACAAACACAATGTCAATTCTGCAGCCACTGTCCCCTTCAACTTACAATATCTCACCACCCAACCATCCCCTTCTGCTGACCCTCCTCTCACTATGAGTGATAGAGGCTTCTACTCTGTACGCATCCACTCCATGCATCCCTGACTCCACTGTCACTGAAGTCCAGATGGGAGGAGTTCAAGTCACTCTCTTGACTTGAGCTTGACAACCCAGTTCTGCATAGGCAATCTGGCTTGATTCCTCCACTCTCTTTTGACAGCTAGTAAACAGTATCCACTCTGGCTGATAAGCCCATCTGTAGCACTGCTGATAGTCTTCTGCTGGATACAGCATAACTCACAGCATGCCAAAGCCAGTCTGGTTTATCTCCCCCACTACTTCTACTTCTTCCTATCTGCACAAATGTTGCTGATTCACCCCTTCCAAGCAGAGGCAATGCTAACATAAGCCAGGATACTCCACTATTCCATTCCCAGCTCCTCAGTCTCCAGCTTTTTCATTCTGACACTGCTATAGCAACATTTCCATCCCTTCAACCACTATCTTTAAATTTCTTGTCTTCTAACCTAAAAACCCCTCTGGTCAATACTGTTTTCCATTTTCCTACTGCTATTTCAAAAAAGAAAACAGAAAGAAAAATACTGCCAGCTAATTGACCAAAATGATAGACAATTTTGCAGCTCTATTTCATAGTAAAGGGGTTTTTTTTATTTAATGCATTTATGTTTAATGGCATAGCATGATGCTCTTAATTTTCTTCATTTTTTACTCAACAGTATCCACCCCTATTGATGTATATCACTGGAACTCCAGCAGTAGTTTATGACCAATAGATATAGATATATAGATTTTGCCTTACTGGTATCGAAGATAGAACATTTTTTCTGAAAGGAAAGGCAGACTTCACAATCAAATACTTTATGGGACTTTACCTTTTCTCAGCATGCTTGTAGAAATGGTTCTGCTTAAAAAACTATATTGCCAGCCAATTCTCAGAGTGTTGCAAAATGGAGGACTCGGTGCTTTTTTATGCAGTATTTTATACATACATTTCAAAAGGATCATTGAAATTGCTCTGAGCTCTGGTTGTAGATTAAATTGAAGAACAGTGTTTTAATCCATGTTGGGAATGAGGTCTGACCTTTATAAATGCTAATTAGCATTCTCCCTGCACAGCCTTTCACATAGATTTATATTCATGTGGCTTGCAGTTCTTTTCCCAGTAGGTTGCAATAATATTTTTATGTCAATGAAACCTTCCCAAGATGAATTCATTAGTTTTGTTTGCTTGTATGCTTCTTATAAAATGTAAATAGCAATAACTGGATATTTTGTTTTCTGTCTTTAATACAGTAATTTGTTGCCATTTAATGCCATTGCCTCCTTCTGTAGGGATTCTTCTTTCTATTTGATATCTGTACCTTGTTCCCAGAAATTAAAGTGACAGTTTATAGTAAAATTGTAGGCTTCTATGAAAACTCACGTTGACTAGCTTTCGAAGGCCTGTTTGTTTCTTCCATAACCTGATTCCACAAAGAAAAGTGTTTGTGAATTTATTCTGAACCGTCTTGAGAACGTCACATTCCTTACCTCACATCTGGAAAGAGAGATGGATTCATTCCTGTCATGTTGAGCCTCAGAGAAGTCAAACAAGCCTATGTCTAAACCATAGCATAGTTTTATTTGGTTTGGTTTATCATACTGCATGAGTCTATTCACTGTAAATTATAAACAAGCTATGACTTGTTCAACAATCCATGATTAAAGTATCCATGG